GGAGGGGAGACCCTATAGAGGGTTCATGGGTGGGAATCTCATGGGGGCAGGGAAGACCCCGTTGGGGGGGTGCAGAAACAGGTACCTCATGGGGAACAGTGAAGGGAGGAAAGATCCAATGGGGGGGTGCCTGGGGGAGGGGAGACTGTATGGGGGGTGCAAGGGGCAGGGGACCCCAGGGGAGACTGTGGGGGAAGAGCAGGCCCCACAGCAGGTGGGGCTGCAAGAGGCTATCCATGTGGGGTGTGGCCCCTTCCTGCAGGGGGAAGAGCTGCTTCCTCAGTGGGGCTGGGCTCAAGGGCATGTTTCCTCACCACACACATTGGGGAGCAGCACTGGCGGAGGGCAGAGAGATGCTGTGGGCGTTCCCTATACTGAGGTGTAGGGCTGGTAGGAAGGGCAGGAAGATGTGAGGCAGCTGTGCTAGAGCCCCACCCTGGGCTTGAAACCCCTGTCTTGTCCCACCCTGCCCCCACAGCACAGCAAGTGGGTGGCATTTATGGTTTTGATTCTCGGACTGATTCATTCATTTCAAAGCCAGCAGTCAGGGAGCCTGGACATCTGGGTTCTTTCTGGGCTTTGGGGAGCAGTGAGGCCTGGTGGGTTGGAGTTGGGGGTGAAGGGAGCCAAAGCCCTTTTGTGGTTGGTTTCATCACCTGGGAAAGCTGCTCTGTTAGTAATGGATTCTTGTTTGCTGCCAGGGACCTCTTCTGATCAGATACTTCACACAGGAGACATCCTGCTCAAGGGGTGAGCCGCATCTCCCCACATGTAGCAGGGGATAGGGTTGTCTCTTCCGGCTGGGATGTGGCAGGGGCAGGGATGGCCCCGTGTCTTGCTGCTTGATCCAAGGGCTGGGATTATACCGGGAGACGGGGCCATGTCTTGGTGCTGGGTCCCAGGGGCTGGGATAGAGTTGGGGACCGGGGCTGTCTCAGTGATGGGTCTCAGGGCTGGCGTATGGCAGGGGACGGAGATAGGGCCATGTCTTGGTGCTGGATCCAAGGGCTGGGATTATAGAGGAGGATGAGGCCGCGGCCCGGTGCTGAGTCCCAGGGCTGGGATATGGAGGGGGGTGGGGCTGTGTCTTGGTGCTGGGATATAGTAGGGACTGGGGCTGGGGCCATGTCTCGGTGCTGGGGTCTCAGGGCTGGGATATAGTAGGGGACAGGGCCGCGTCTTGTTGCTGGTTATAGCAGGGAATAGGGCTATGTTTCGGTGGTGGGTTCCAGGGCTGGGATTTAGGGGGTATGGGGCTGTGTCTGGGTACTGGGTGTGTGGTAGTTAGGATATAGCAGGGTTGGGCACCGGAGGAACAGGGCAGACATGTCTCAGTGCTAGAGGACCCTGGGGCCTGGGATATATTGAGGGGAGAGGGCTGTGTGTTGGTGTTAACAGTCCCAGTGGCTAAGCTATCTGAGGAGAATGCATCTGTGACATGGTGCTGGGTCCCAGGGCTGGAATATAGCATGGGCTTGGCCTGTATCTTGTACTGGGTCCCCTGTGTGATCCTTCCCTCTCTCCCTGTCAGGTTCATCCGGGAGCGAGTCCAGCGCTGTGGGGACTCGCAGGCGGTAGAGCTGGGCCGGGAGGTCCTGGGGGGCCCTGAGGCTTCACTCTGCAGCAATGACACCAAGCGCCTCAGCGAGTGCCTGCGGCGCATCGGGGATGAGCTGGACAGCAACACAGACCTGCAGAGGTGGAGACCCCCTACTACACTCCTCACTTCCCAGCCTAGATATTTTCCCCCCCACCCTTCCCCCTCCATCTGCAGGCTGGCTAACCTCTTGGGTTACAGGAAAGGTAGCTGGGAGCCCAGACACCTGGGTTCTCTCCCAGCTCTGGCAGGGGAGTGGGCTGTGGTGGGTTAGAGCAGGTGGGACAGGAGGAAGGGAGAAGCGGCCCTCTCTCTAGGCCCTAAGGGCTCTTCTATTCCTCCCCCCAACTGCCCCTACCTGGCTGTGCAGGATGATCGAGCAGGTGGGCTCACAGCCCCCCAAGGAGGTCTTCTTCCGTGTGGCCACCGAGATGTTCTCCGATGGGACCTTCAACTGGGGTCGGGTCGTGGCCCTCTTCTACTTCGCCTGCAAGCTGGTCCTCAAGGTGGGAGGCCACCCATAGGATTCCTATGGCCTGTCCTAGTCCCCTGTACCTCCCCCACCCTTTCCCCTCCCCTCCCAGATCTGCAGCCCCTTCCCGCTGCCCTCACACATGCCCTGTCTTGGCACTAGCCAGCATGCCCTGATCCCCCTCTCCACCTACCCCCATGGAGTGCTCTCCTCTGCCCTTCAGCTCTGCCCTCCAAGCCCTGGACCTAGGTCTAGCTGAGCCTCTCGCCATTGTCCTAGGGTCTTAGGGCTCAGATGTAGCTAGGGTATGGGGATGTGTCTAGGTGACACTGGCTCCCTTGGGGGACTGGGGCTGTTCCTTGGTGTCTGAGGTCTCTGGGGCCTGGGATATAAGGGTGGGGCAGTGTGTTGTAGGCAGTGGTGCTTAACTTTTTGGCCCTACAGCCTAGATGAGTGGTATGGAGCCTGTCTGCAGCCAGGATTGGGCCCTGGGGGCTTGGCACTTCACCCTCCCTGTCCTTGGGCCCTGGTGGCACTGTCTCCTTCCTCTTCCCATTTACCAGGGTTGGGTCCTGAGGGTCTAATGCTACCTTGTGTGTGCCAGGACTGGGTTCTGGGTGCCTCGTACCACCACCCCCTGGCCCCTGCATGGTTTCAGGGGCCTTACACCACCTCTTTCTGACCCTTGCATGCCACGATTGGGTCTGAGGGTGCTGTCCCCTTTGTGCCAGGATTGGATCCCGGGGGCCTAGCACTGTCCTCTCCTGCTCCAGGCACACTGGGAATGGGTCTTTGGAGACTGGCACTGCTCCCTCCTGCCCTTGTGTACCAGGATTGGGTCCTGGGGCCCTGGTGCTGTCCCCTTTTGCTTCTCATGCACTAGGATTAGGTCCTGCCCAGCCTTGTGTGCTGAGATTCGGCACCCCAACCAGCACACTGGGCCTGGGCTCCCCATGTATCTGGAGATTTGGCAGCAGGGGAGTGGTGCCATTGTTTCTCTGCCACCAGTTTTTTGGACCTATGGGGAACCCCATGGGCTGGATGACAGAGAACTATGGGCCAGAGGTTAGGCACCCCAGGTTTAGGAGACCCCAGAACATCCTCATCTGAGCCCCCTGCTGCCCTCTGTACCCCCCTCCCTAGCTGAGCTTTCTCCTTCACCCCCCAGTCTTGCCAGGCCCCCGCTGCCCCTGACGCGTGTCTCTCTGCCAGGCGCTGTGCACGAAGGTCCCTGAGCTGGTGCGCACCATCCTAGGCTGGACCATGGAGTACCTGCGCGAGCATGTTTTGGTCTGGATTCAGGCCCAGGGCGGCTGGGTGAGTGTGGCTCTGGGGCAGCCAGCGCCTACTCATGCTGCCTTTGGGTACCTGTGCCACAGCCGGCTGTGCTTCCCACCTCCCTCCCAGAGCTGCTTTAACCCCTTAAACCCCATTCCCCTCCCAGAGCTGGGAGAGAACCTAGGTGTCCTGGTTGGCAATACCCCTTTACTCTAACATAGGGGTGGCCAGCCTGCAGCATGGGTGCCACAAGGGCACAGGCAGCCTCTGGCACATGGCAGACAGGAGCGAACAAACAGGACCACAGCAGATAGAGCAGGGAGCAGAAAGCAGGGCAGTCAATCAGTCAGGGAGCAGCCATCAGGTAAGGAGGAGGGAGCAGAAAGCAGATCAGAGGAACAGGATTGGAGTGGCATTAGAGGGTGGGTGCAGGGTTAATCTGTGGCCCCCCCTGCCAAAAAGGTTGCCCCCCCCCACTGCTTTAACCAGCAGACTCCACTCCCTTCCCAGAGCTGAGGGAGAACCCAGGCGTCCTGGATCCCAACCCTTTTTCCCACTTCACCTTGCTGCTTCAAGGTAACTCCCTCCCCAGCACTTTTTACATCACTGCCACCTGCTCCCTGCTTCATCAGTGCGAGAGTGAGAGCCCTCCCCTCGCTGCCCTCCCCACTGATTGCACCCCACTTTGCCCCTCCACAGGAAGGCCTGCTCTCCACCTTGGGCACTCCCACCTGGCAGACCATCACCATCTTCGCTGCTGGCGTCCTCACCGCCTCGCTCACCATCTGGAAGATGTCCTAGACCCCGGGGCCGGCTGGTCCCTTCCCCTGCCCTGCTCCAGCTGGGCTGCGCTGGCTGGGGTGCCTGGGGCCTGGCCGCTCCTCACAGTGGACTCAGGGGGTGAATACTTTTGCAATACTCATCTTCAAGCGGGATTTTTTTTAAACCCCTCCTTTCACCCCCTCCTGGTGCCTTTTTTTTGGTTCATTTTTTTTTTAATACGGAGACTTTCGGGGAACATGTACTTTGGTTTCTCCTTTGGATCCCCACCCCGCCATCCATCCCCGATGTGCCTGGCTCTGGGGTGGAGTGCTGCTGGCTCGTGAGACAGAATGAGCAGTCCAGCCAAGACTCTATCCCACCCGGGAGGTCTGCTCCTCACAGAGATGGCATCACATGGACCCAGAACTGCTTGTGTGGGAGGCCTCCTGCTGCCCTCCCCATCCCGCCCTGAAGCCCAGCCGGCATCATGGGGTTGCCCCAGCATTTGACAACTCTCCCCCCACCCTAAGCAGTGCATTGGGGATTTGCAGGCTGGCTCCAGACCTGGTGTTTGGGGGGTGCAGCATGGTGGGGGAGGGATTCGTGGGGTTTACTCTGCCTTTCCCCCCCACCCAGACAATCTTGGGTGCCTTCTGCCCCACCATCACTGTGAATTGCCTGCTGGAAGAGAGATCTTATGCCTCCCATGCAGGGGATGAACCCCCACCCCTGGCTAGCATCATCAGCTCCCCCTGCTTGTGAGGGGCATAGCTTCTTCCCTGCTTTTGTGGAGGGGGTCATTCAACCCCTCCACCAGCATCTGGGCACCCCTACTCTGAGCCATGTACTGTAATAGGGGGCTGGGGTGACCCCTTTGCCCCTGGGTGGGGGTCACCAGGTCCCCCTGCACCTTCCTCCTCTGACTGTATTACTACTGTGTGTTCTCAGGGGATAGGGGCAGATCATATGACAGCCCCTTCCCTACCCCCAAATTTCCTCAGTGGTCTCAGCCACAGGGCCTTGTGTCTGAGGGGGGTGGGGGGGAAGCTCTGTCCCCAAGCAGCCCCATTCTTGATGTGGCAATGGGGTGGGCCGTGGCTGGTGCTAAGAAGGGTTGTCAGGGGCTGAAGTGATGCCCCATAGTCTCCCCCACCCCCTGAGAGGTGGGAAGGGGTATCAGAAGGGATCCCCTGCTAGCAGGGCTTACTGGCACTGGGGGGATCCCTAACTCAGGGATCAAGGGGGCTCAGTGGGGGTGGGAGCAGGGATCCAGTGGGTCTGCCAATGAATTTAATAACTCTTGGGTGGATCTGTACTTCAGTGTGGGGGAGAGGGTGGACATAGGGAGTGTGTGATGTCATGGGCATGGGAGACGATGTCACACCAAGCTGGCATGAGTATGTGATGTCACGGGTGCAGGGAGGTGGTGTCACACAGAAAGGGGGGAGTCTGATGTCACAGGTGCAGGGGAAGCGATGTCATGGATAGGGGAAGAGCAGTGCTGTCATGGGTAGGCAGGATAGCTGCTTTTGGGAAGGGCATGCTGGTGACAGTGGGAGGAAATGCTGTCATAAAGCAGTTTTGCACCCACCCTGATCCTTGCCCCTTCCCCCCGCTTTGTGCCTGGTGCCCTACCTGGGGGGCTGAAGGAGGGGGTGGGGGGCAGTGAGAGACCTGGGCTCCCCAGCCCCATGGATGTGCCAGGCACCTCCACCTGGGCATGGCCTTGCTGGGCACTTTGTAACGGTTGGGGCCGAGGGAAAAGGGAGCTTGAAAATAAACCCACTGGACCCAATCCTGTGCCTGTCTCTGTTGGGGGTGGTGGGGCTGCAAACTCCCCCCCAGCAGTTTCCCCCTGGCTGGGGGGCAGGGGGGAATAGGAGTGGGGTGTTGCAATCTTCCCTTGGGACAGGGAAGATCCCCCAGTTCAATGGAAGTTGGGGTGATGGGGGTGGGGGGAAGATTGGTGGGGGATGCACTTCCTTTGAGGTCATGGCCCTGCGGCTGGAGGGAACCATATGTGGGGGGGGAATAGGTCCCCGCAAGCACCCACACACTGGGAGAAGGGTCCCTGCTGCACTGAGTTCTGTAGCCCCCCCAGTGGAGATCTCAGCCCTCTGCTTTGTGGGTGCCCCCTGAGACTAAGACCAGGGATCCTTGCAGGCCTGGAGCTGTGTGGACCTGGGGGAGGGGCAAGCCCAGCCTCACAGATCCTGGCAGGGGAAACTGAGGCACCAGTGGGGGAGATGGGGGGAGTGCACAAGGAGGTGGCAAAGCTGGGGTAGAACCCAGGAGTCCTGGCTCCCGGCTCATGTCCCTCTCCCTTCCATCTGCTGCGGCCAGGGGATTGTGGGCCAGAAGTGAGGGGCGCTGGTGGTGCTCTGTATGACATGTCCTCCATGACGGGACCCTTGTCACCCAGGGCCTCCCACCCAGAATAGGACCCTGCAAGCCCTGTCCGACCTCCCCCACTCATGGGGAACCTGGCGCACTTGTCCATTGCCAGGGGGCTTCAGTAACTCCCCCTCCCATGGAGGCACCCTGGGAATGTTCTAGGCACACAGGGCGCCCAGGCAGCTGCTCTGGGGACGATGCTAGGGGATGAGGGTCCCTCAAGGTGGGAGCGGGGGGGGACGTTGCTGGAGAGCACAGGCAGCTCCAGGCTGCTCGCCGGTCCTGGAGCCCCCCATTGAGACCATACTGGTGCTGGGCTGAGGGGCATGGCTGCCTTATTGGCTGGCGAGGCCTGGAAGGTGGCAGAGAGGTGCTGTCTGCTCCTCGCCTTCCGTCCCTGCCTGGATCAGACCGTGCTTTCAGCCTAGCCCCTGAGGCCTGGCCTCTGTCTGGCCTGGGACCAAGAACCGGAGGTGGGAGGCAGGGCCAGGCCAGGCCAGGCCAGGATGGAGGCTTAGCAGGGCATGGGGCCCCCCTCAGCGCCCAGGCCAGAGGAGTCAAGGGCAGGTACAGCTGGGACTTAGGTGGGGGGGGAATTAAGGGATGCTTTCACTTTCCCTTCTCTCCAGGAAGCCACCAATCTTAAAACTCACTGGGATGGGGGGGAATCGGCGCCTGGGTTCTGTTCAAGATGCGGCCGGGCGGGGGG